CTTCATCGTTAATATATGGAATACATTTTTTTTAAATAATCATGCTTCTGAGTGGCTTAAACATTTTTTTCTTAAATTTTCGCTTTTAACATTTTTGGTTTTAGAAGTGTGAAAAAGTGCTCTGAACATTTATGTTTGTATTTTTCAAGTAAATGTCCAAGTTAGTGTAACATGTAGAAACAATATTATTTGTTAAGAATAAAAGTTACTTCGAATATCCATATTATGTTTTCATAAAGTTATTAGATGATAAAAGTTGAACTGAAAAACAAGTAAATAAAAAAGAAAAAAAAAAGAAAATTGGACTATAAAAGTAACCCATTCAGCATTGTTATCTGTACCTGGTATATCACTGACAGGTTGACATTCAGCATTGTTATCTGTACCTGGTATATCACTGACAGGTTGACATTCAGCATTGTTATCTGTACCTGGTATATCACTGACAGGTTGACATTCAGCATTGTTATCTGTACCTGGTATATCACTGACAGGTTGACATTCAGCATTGTTATCTGTACCTGGTATATCACTGACAGGTTGACATTCAGCATTGTTATCTGTACCTGGTATATCACTGACAGGTTGACATTCAGCATTGTTATCTGTACCTGGTATATCACTGACAGGTTGACATTCAGCATTGTTATCTGTACCTGGTATATCACTGACAGGTTGACATTCAGCATTGTTATCTGTACCTGGTATATCACTGACAGGTTGACATTCAGCATTGTTATCTGTACCTGGTATATCACTGACAGGTTGACATTCAGCATTGTTATCTGTACCTGGTATATCACTGACAGGTTGACATTCAGCATTGTTATCTGTACCTGGTATATCACTGACAGGTTGACAATCATAAATAATTGTTTTATACCAGTAGGATTAAATGATTATTTAATACCACCTAGACTAAATGATTATTTAATACAAGGTAGATTAAATGATTATTTAATACAAGCTAGACTGAACTTTAAAATCCTTAAAATTTTAATTGGCACTTCAGTTCACAGTACTGACAAAGCCAATGTAACATTAAACATGAATAAGATGATTTAATTTGTGAGTTTTGATTTTGTACTGATAGAACTATAAATATAAGTATAATTAGGTACATGAACTAGAGAATTTTATATTAAACAAGAACAAACATTACACATTGGATTTGCTGATATAGCTACATGCTCATGCAGTATGGAAGTAATGTTGTCAAATAATGAATATTGGAAATTTCTGATTACGGCCTCAAACTAAATCAATTCAGCTATTTGTAAAATCATCTATTAATCACAGTATTTCTTTTTATCAAGTACAAACCATTTTGACATAACAAGGTTTGCAATTTATTTTCAGTGTAGTGAATCAATAAGGCCTCACTTGATTAAGATGTAAATCAAAATGATTCCTACATGTTTGTTTTTTAAACATCACATCCACAGTGGATTGAGACATTTGGAAATACATGTACTGTGTGTTAATTAATGTCACTCTGACATTACTCCAATAGGCTGTTAGCATGAAAGATCTCCCACCATTTATTGTGCACAATGAAGTTGATATTGATTTTTGATAAAATTGCAGTCTGTTCATGATAACTTTTTTTTTTTATCCAAGCAAGAGAATCATCTCTTTTTTTCTCTCTCTCCTGCAATTATCGATCTACTTATTGATTGTGAAGAAAATCTGAGCCAATCTGATGTAGAGATCATCTGTAAGATTATTGACAAGGAAACAAATGGTACCTAATGAAACATGATATGGCTGTGGCCGACTTTCCAAAGGCAAAATGGAGGACATGTTGTTGCCATGGTAACCTAGCTGTCTGTATTTATCAGATATTCCAAGAACTTCCAACCATTTGTGTACAAGAGTGATTGAAGGAAATCAGAATTATGTGATTTTTCATTGACTTTGTTTATTTAGAAAAAAACTGATCTATTTGCCTTTGATTAAGATAATTTTATTACTACAGCGTTGACATTAGATTAGTATTACCCTCTTACACGATTTTTCAATTAGAGAAAATGTTCGTATTTGTGTATTTTATCGAAAGAATATCTAACTTATTTCACCACGATCTATAAAAATGTCAGAGATTGCAGATGTCATGTAGTATTTGCAACATGTGAGATTGTGAAAAGTTGGAAGATTAGACATACTTCACACAACATTAATGACATTTCAGTTTATTACAGAGTTATCTTTTCCTGATTGTGGGACCTCTTGTTAACACAAGTATTCATACCACTAATAAAAGTCTGACAGACCATGATATTTATATTCCAAGACATGTATCCTCTCCTCAGGATCAAATAAGTCTTGAATCAGATGTTTGACAAAGTTATACTTATGAGAACCAATTAGAGAAAATTTAAGTACTTAGTACTATAGATATTTATAGGTATATATACATATTTTTGTTTTTAACACATGGAAAGTAGGTATGAAGTAGCAATATATTGTTTGTTTACAGATTGACAGAGCAGGTTTATAAGGGGATGCATTTTACTTGGATTTCAGACTGTTGCAAGAGATCCAAATTAAGATAACTTGTGCGACATAACTCTATATTTGCAGATTTGAGACATTTGTCTTTCTCAATGTTTCATATCACTGTGCGACATAACTCTATATTTGCAGATTTGAGACATTTGGCTTTCTCAATGTTTCATATCACTGTGCGACATAATTCTATATTTGCAGATCAGAGACATTTGTCTTTCTCAGTGTTTCATATCGCTGTGCGACATAACTCTATATTTGCAGATTTGAGACATTTGTCTTTCTCAATGTTTCATATCACTGTGCGACATAACTCTATATTTGCAGATTTGAGACATTTGGCTATCTTTACGTTTCTCATTTACTGATGGGAAAGCTGAAACAAAAATATCATGAATGTGTAAAGTACACAAAAATCTGTATTATGTAAAAATTCTCAGAAACGACCAATTGAGTTACAAAAAAACCTTTGCTCACTATCAAACATGAAAGTACCTAAAACCTCACTTTACACCTAAATGTGAGCAATTTCCTCTCCCAATTCTTTGGTAATGATGCTAGTTCTACAAAGCCAATCTAAGTCCAGCTTGTCCTCACCAATACTGGGACCATGCTACTTGAAACCACTAATTGCTTACAGCCTTGTACACAAGTGCTTCAATATGTTCCTTGTGATTTTTTAACAAGATTCCCAACACACTAGGTAAAGATATCAGGCATGGTTTATATACAGTTTCCATGGGAAAATAATCAACACCCATATTGACAGGATGTAATTCAAAGTTTGTCGCCTGGCAACTGCAAGGATTACAAGAAAAATTTAACTTATCACCCCAATAAGATCTTAAGTCAATTACTGGGGTATATACTTGTGCATGAATGTTAATAGCGTGCCAAAATAGTTTTGTGAAAATTGAAAATTGAAGGAAGGATATATTAATGACAATGAGAACACATCAGGAAAAATCATATATAAAATTATAGAGACTTAATGGACAGTATCTATTTACACATGAAATCAATTATGTCAGAAAGATGCAATAAGGAAGAATGGATGGACAGGGAAAAACTTCAATTTAGGAGGTAACTGAATATTGACTTACTGAAAAAAGACCTTAGAATCAATATCATCACATTGATTCTTTTCAGGAAGCATCCATTACTTACATGGTGTTCCTCCTGACATCACATATATCAACAAATTTAAGTCTCACTTTACAGTAAAAAAAAGTGTTTATTGTGAAAAATTGCTTAAAGACTGTTTTTTCCTCATGAAAGAAAAATCCTTTTATATTCTATAAAGTTCTAACATAATTTAAAAACCAATATTTCTAATGTAGATGAATAAACATATGACTGTATGAAAGTGTTGTTTACAGTGATTTGGCGACAATTATATAAACATATGACTGTTTGAAAGTGTTGCTCGCTGTGATACGGTGACAATTGTATAAACATATGACTGTTTGAAAGTGTTGCTCGCTGTGATACGGTGACAATTGTATAAACATATGACTGTATGAAAGTGTTGCTCGCTGTGATATGGTGACAATTGTATAAACATATGACTGTATGAAAGTGTTGTTTACAGTGATTTGGTGACAATTATATAAACATATGACTGTATGAAAGTGTTGCTTGCTGTGATATGGTGACAATTGTATAAACATATGACTGTATGAAAGTGTTGCTCGCTGTGATATGGTGACAATCATATAAACATATGACTGTGTGAAAGTGTTGCTTGCTGTGATATGGTGACAATCATATAAACATATGACTGTATGAAAGTGTTGTTTACAGTGATTTGGCGACAATTATATAAACATATGACTGTATGAAAGTGTTGCTCGCTGTGATATGGTGACAATTGTATAAACATATGACTGTTTGAAAGTGTTGCTTGCTGTGATTTGGTGACAATCATATAAACATATGACTGTGTGAAAGTGTTGCTTGCTGTGATATGGTGACAATCATATAAACATATGACTGTATGAAAGTGTTGCTTGCTGTGATTTGGTGACAATTGTATAAACATATGACTGTGTGAAAGTGTTGCTTGCTGTGATATGGTGACAATCATATAAACATATGACTGTATGAAAGTGTTGCTTGCTGTGATATGGTGACAATTGTGACAATAAATTGGACTTAGCTGTAGGTGTTTTCCTTATAACACCAGTTTAATACCTGTATATAATGTACATGTAATTGATTAAATCTTTCTATCACTTCCCAGCTAAAAATCACATTTACAGTTCATAGGTCAAATTTGTGGTATTATTTTCCTTAGGATAATAAGATGACAACACGAATAGTAATAATGTATAGTCCAGTTCTAATCTTGGATGGAGGATGGGACATTTTAGAAGACGTGTTGACCATGAATTTTCATTTCTAAGTTACATGACAAAAGATGCATTTCTGTTCTCTTTTTCTTTCTTTTAGAAATTTAGGTACAATTTATTATACTGTAGAAACAAGCTTACCATGACTTTTTGTTGACTGATGATTTCCTCGGCACCGTTGAGAAGTTCATACGATTATACAAAGGGACACTGACTGTCCCTATTGGGTCTTCCCATAGACGTCTATACTCAGCCATTGTCCTCAGGGTGGAGGGTACCTGTTGTTACACCCTTATCCCCTGTTGTCTATCAAACCCACAAGATATTCACAGTATCCACGACACAGTGCAAAGCTTGAAGACATTCACACCAGACTCCAGGGGCCCAAATACTGTTAAATCCACATTAACAGAGTCTGGGAATTCAAACTTACTGATGTAGGTCAAACTTCAAAATCCAAACACACTTTAGTCAGCATCAGAGCAGATTGCTAAATACACACAAGATGTAAAGAAAATTCTTTCTAAGTAGCAAGGTTATTATTGATAAACTGTTCTCTGGTTAAAACCTGCCAAAATCCAGTAAGTTCACTGCTGACAATCTTTAAGTCTTTGGAATTTCAACAACCATCACAAACCTTATCACAGCCAAAATCTTTGTATTGGTTTTATTCCAAATGTCCAAGTTGATCACCAGTCAAAGATGTTTTGAGACTTTCCATGCAGACAGCAGCAGGAATATCAAACATCAAGTGAGACTTGTACACAGACACAGTGCTTTTAGTTCCATCAACATTTTAAGACGTGTTTGTTTTTCATCCAGAAATTTCAGAGCAAATTACCATCACAACAAAAACATATATGGCAGAGAGAACACTTAGTTTCATGTCAGAGGGTGCAGCACTGACCATAGAATGACCAAGGTGGTGATACAGAGGTCAGCCAGGCAGCCAGATTAATGGTCAGTTAGCCACACTGGTCAGGCACCATCCCCACACATTATGGCGTATAATGGCCAAGTTTCATCACTGAGGAGGAGGATACTGGGTGGTTTCATCACAGTGACATGCCAACACAGGGCCACAGAGTAAATCAATGCTGAACGGCCACCACAACACTACACTGTCATATTACACCTTATACATGCAGTAGTACCTTCCTAATGCCACTGATTCACAGGTTCTGAGTGGTTTTTGAATATGCCACAAGTGAGTCAGGGTCTCATATTAACACTTGATACAATACTGATGATTAGGGGGCCCCAACTTTCCCCTGTCTACTGATAGATAAGCCAGGGAGGTCTCATACCCCATCACAGTAACCAGCTGTTGGTGGCTACACTGCACCCTCACTCAGCATGGAGTACTGGGCATGCAGGTATACAAAGACTGGCGTTGATAAATACTCCTTCCTTACTCTGCAGGGAGTGAGTACTGGGATTGCAGGTACACGTGAGCTGGTCAAGTGTACACTGTAATCACTCCCTGCTCAGCATGACCAAGAATCGGTCTTGCAGATACACAAAGAATGGTCATTCTTGTACTTCCTCCCAGTTTCACATAGTGTGTATGTATATATATATATTTATATACAACTTTTTATTTATTTTATTCATTGGCTGCCAACACACAGGCTAGTACAGCAGATATATATTATATTGTTGAGTTATTTTCTGGAAGTAGTAAAGAGAAGACTTGTGACTGAGTTCACCATTACCTGATTCATTAGACATGACTAAACTTCAGATCTGACCTTTTTCCCTTTTCTTTCGAGGCTTTTTTCTCCATGGCTTCCTTGACACTGCCTCATTTTTTGTTTCACAGTCAAACCTACGCTGCTGTTAGAAAGTTCTCTATCCATATTATTCTACTTCAGACTTCTCAACATCTTGGTAGTATTAAACCCTGGTTTGTAAGTATGTGTAATGGTTGGGTATCATGGAGGGTATTTCCAGTGGTATACTTCAGTGAGATAACACTATAAAGTCTGCATCTGTTCTGCACAATTACAAGAAGTCTGAAAAGAATACACTGTAGCCTCCCTAAAACACATGCACTCAACACACACTTAACACACTCACTTAACACACTCACTCAACACACTCACTCAACACACACTCAACACACACACTCAACACACACTCAACACACTCACTCAACACACACACACTCAACACACACACTCAACACACACTCAACACACACACTTAACACACTCACTCAACACACACTCTACACACGCACTCAACACACACACGAAACACACACTAAACATACACACTAAACACTCACTCAACACACACACTCAACACACACACTCAGAACTCACACTCAACACATACTCAACACACACACTCAACGCACACTCAACACACACACTCAACACACACACTCAACACACGCTAAACATACACACTAAACACTCACTCAACACACACACTCAACACACTCACTCAACACACACACTCAACACACACACTCAACACACACTCAACACACACTCAACACACACACACTCAACACACACTAAACATACACACTAAACACTCACTCAACAAACACACTCAACACACTCACTCAAAACACACACTCAACACACACACTCAACACACACACACTCAACACACACACTCAACACACACACTCAACACACACACTCAACACACACACTCAACACACACTCAACACACACTCAACACACACACACTCAACACACACTAAACATACACACTAAACACTCACTCAACACACACATTCAACACACTCAACACACTCACTCATCATTCACTTGTCTCAAATACATAAAAAGGCCCTCCTTAGATGACCACAGTTGTTGATAGATTATTAAACAATATAACAGAAAAAGAAACCAAGTCAACATGGAGTAACACTGGCGTGGTGTGAAGATATACCAGGACTTGTCTTTGTTTTTATTCAGCCTCCCCACTCAGCTTGAAATACTGGACTACAAGGATTGGTCATGTTTGATATATCTCCCTCCCCAACATCATTCAGTAAACCACTGGGCATACAGGAACACAAAGACTGGTCAGAGTTAAGACTCCAACAAATGGATTTGGCCACCTCACAACACATGAAGTTGGCTAAAACACACACAGACTGTCTCACAACAGTACACACACTAAGATAATACAACACAAGCATGGTGTACTGAGAGGAGGGCTGGTCTCACACCACAAGCAAGGTGTACTGAGAGGAGAGCTGGTCTCACAACACACACACACTGCGAGGACACACACACAACATGGTGTACAGAGAACTGGTCTCACAACACAACATGGTGTACTGAGAGGAGAGCTGGTCTCACAACACACACATTGAGTACTGCGAGGACTGGTCTCACATCACACACACTGAGAGAAGGGCTGGTCTCACAACACAAGCATGGTGAACTGAGAGGAGAGCTGGTCTTACAACACAACACAGCTGGTCTTACAACACAACATGGTGTACTGAGAGAAGGGCTGGTCACACAACACAAGCATGGTGTACTGACACTGGTCTCACAACACAAGAATGGTGTACTGAGAGAAGGGCTGGTCTCACAACACAAGCATGGTGTACTGAGAGAAGGGCTGGTCTCACAACACAAGCATGGTGTACTGAGAGAAGGGCTGGTCTCACAAAACAAGCATGGTGTACTAAGAGAAGGGCTGGTCTCACAACACAAGAATGGTGTACTGAGAAAAGGGCTGGTCTCACAACACAAGCATGGTGTACTGAGAGAAGGGCTGGTCTCACAAAACAAGCATGGTGTACTGAGAGAAGGGCTGGTCTCACAACACAAGAATGGTGCACTGAGAAAAGGGCTGGTCTCACAACACAAGCATGGTGTACTGAGAGAAGGGCTGGTCTCACAACACAAGCATGGTGTACTGAGAGAAGAGCTGGTCTCACAACACAAGAATGGTGTACTGAGAGAAGGGCTGGTCTCACAACACAAGCATGGTGTACTGAGTGAAGGGCTGGTCTCACAACACAAGCATGGTGTACTGAGAGAAGGGCTGGTCTCACAACATAGCATGGTGTACTGAGAGAAGGGCTGGTCTCACAACACAAGCATGGTGTACTGAGAGAAGGGCTGGTCTTACAACACAAGCATGGTGTACTGAGAGAAGGGCTGGTCTCACAACACAAACATGGTGTACTGAGAGGAGAGCTGGTCTCACAACATAGCATGGTGTACTGAGAGAAGGGCTGGTCTCACAACACAAACATGGTGTACTGAGAGGAGAGCTGGTCTCACAACATAGCATGGTGTACTGAGAGAAGGGCTGGTCTCACAACACTAGTATAGATAACTGAGAGAGGAGATCATACTGGTCTGATTTATTAAAACACTCGAATGACTTTTTCTGATAAATACCTAACATTTGAGTTGTAATATATGGCTAAAACTGATAATTTCCTTTCAAATAAAATCAGACAATTAGACTGTCTCACAACAGTATTACTGTGTACTAAGATAAGGGCTGGTCTTACAACACAAGCATGGTGTACTGAGAGGAGAGATGGTCTCACAACACAAGCATGGTGTACTGAGAGGAGAGCTGGTCTCACAACACGAGCATGGAGTACTGCGAGGAGGGCTGGTCTCACATCACAAGCATGGTGTACTGAGAGAAGGGCTGGTCTCACAACACAAGCATGGTGTACTGAGAGGAGAGCTGGTCTCACAACACAAGCATGGTGTACTGAGAGAAGGGCTGGTCTCACAACACATGCATGGTGTACTGAGAGAAGGGCTGGTCTCACAACACAAGCATGGTGTACTGAGAGAAGGGCTGGTCTCACATCACAAGCATGGTGTACTGAGAGAAGGGCTGGTCTCACAACATAGCATGGTGTACTGAGAGAAGGGCTGGTCTCACAAAACAAGCATGGTGTACTGAGAGAAGGGCTGGTCTCACAACACAAGCATGGTGTACTGAGAGAAGGGCTGGTCTCACAAAACGAGCATGGTGTACTGAGAGAAGGGCTGGTCTCACAACACGAGCATGGTGTACTGAGAGAAGGGCTGGTCTCACAACATGGCATGGTGTACTGAGAGGAGAGCTGGTCTCACAACATGGCATGGTGTACTGAGAGAAGGGCTGGTCTCACAACACAAGCATGGTGTACTGAGAGAAGGGCTGGTCTCACAACATAGCATGGTGTACTGAGAGAAGGGCTGGTCTCACAAAACAAGCATGGTGTACTGAGAGAAGGGCTGGTCTCACAACACAAGCATGGTGTACT